ATTAAAATCGAATAAATAATTCATGGCTTAGACTTAATACTAATTACTCAATTAGATGCAAATAATAATAATAAATTCATCAAATAGGAAACTGGCTATTTATGAAAATAAAGTCGAACTCCATATATAGTAAATAATATTCTGGGCGTTACAGAACCATTGTATACCAGTCAACCTACTTGAAAAAGGTTTTTGGAAAATTATGCATGGATACATCTCATCCACTTAGCACACCAATGGTTATCTGATCCCTTGAAGCAGATAAGGATCCATTTAGACCTAAAGAAGATACCGAAAATAATTTAGGACCAGAAATTTCCTTACGTGATCTCCATTGGCGTGTTACTTTATCTTGCAAATTGCACCAGGCCTGATATTGCATTTGCAGTAAATTGCTAGCAAGGTTTTGTGTTTCTTCTACGAGGAGACACTGGAATGGTATTACACATATTTTTAAGTGTCTTCAAGGTTCATAAGATCTTAGTTTATATTATAAGAAAAATCAAGATATGACATTGGCGGGCTATTCGAATGCTGGTTATATATCTGATCCCCATAATGATAGATCACAAACTGGTTATGTTTTTCTCTGTGGTGGTACTGCAATCTTTTGGAAGTCGGTCAAGCAGTCCATGGTTACTACATCTTAAAACCACTCACAGATAATTGCTTTACACGAGACTTCACTAGAATGTACATGGTTGAGATCTTTAATCAAACATATCCGTAGGTCATGTGGAATTACGAATAATATTAACCTCCACAGTTCTTTACGAGGACAATGCAACTTGTGTTTTACAAATGAGTAGTGGTATGTCAAAAGAAGCATGACAAAATACATTGCTCCAAAATTCTTTTACCCACATGAGCTCTAGAAGAGCGGTGAGATTATTGTACAAAAAGTAAGGTATAGCGAGAACTTGATAGTTTTATTCACCAAATCTCTTTCTACATCTACTTTTGAAAGATACATTTATGGGATTAATATGCGTAAACTGGGAAACTAAAAATAATCCTGAAGATTAATGGGTTGTACTTTTTTTTTTCTTTCATTAAGTTTTTCCCATTGAACTTAATAGTTGAAGGTTTTAATGAGGCAGCTAGTAAAAACAAGAAATATATAAATCATGTACTTTTTTTTCCTTGAGTAATTATTTTTCCTTATCGGGTTTTTATTAGAAAGTTTTTTAATGAGACATGTAGTAATGTATAAGGAAGAGTGTTATAAATATATTAATATGAACATTACTAATATACAAATTGCGCTTGAAGCCCATTAGTTAGGAAATAGATTTTATGACTTCTCTCTTGTAAACCGTATAAAAGGGTGTTATACCAATGAATAAAATGAATTTGTTTGCACTTCTCTTTTGTCATTCTCGTTCTCTTTACTGCACACCTTTTATGCTTGATATATTGATGAAATGTTTTGTTTGGTATATTGATGAATGTTTGTTGAATATTTAAGATTCCCAATTTACAACAAAATGAAGCTTATATTGGTCTACATTTATACTTTAGATTTTTTTTTTCTTCTTAAATAGTCAGGCGATCGACGTGCTAGGCCCGACAAGGTCGTCGGGCCGGGTCAGCCCCCGAATAGACCAAGCAGCAGTTGTTAACTAATGCAGTGTTTGGTTCGGGGGAAACGAAGGGGAGGGGAAGTTAGGTGAGGGAATTTTTTACTTTTCCCTTGTTTGGTTCAATTTTTTTTTAAGGGGAAAGAGTTATGATTTTCCCTTCAAATCATTCCTCCAAGGGAAAATACTCTCCCTTCCAAAAGTGAGGGAATTTGGAGGGGAGTAAAACTTTTAACAACAAATTACTCTTTTGATCTTAATATGCGAATTATTTTTTTTCTTACATCATTAAAGGTACTAGTATGGTACCCGTGCGCATCACAGCGGGTTATTTCCTCAAACCTTTTTTTGTAAACTTTATAATAAATATTTTTTATAAATTAATAATTAATTACAATAGAAAGAGGATAGAGGAGTACAAAATATAAACAAAAATCATATATTATTAAACATTTCTCTATACACAACATTATTGGTTTGATTTTCTTTCAAACCTTCTTCTCCACAAATTAAAATTTTTAGACCCTTTCTGTTAGTAACACGAGAGCCAGCGACATATAACTGGCCATGACTAAAAACTGGTTTCTTCAAGAATAAGCCAACATGCGATAATGATTGACCTTGACTCTTGTTTATAGTCATTGCGTACGAAACCATAATGGGGGAAGTGCCTTCTTTGAAATTTGAATGGTACTCTAACATCAGAAGGAGTTATTGTCATCCGAGGTATCAAAAGTTTATCACATGTATGATCGCCTGTAAGAATTTTACACTAGAGAACATGATTGGAGAGTTTAGTCACAACCAATCGTGTACCATTGCAGAGTCCCATAGAGTGATCCATAATCCGCAACAACATAACTGGAGTTCCGACCTTCAAATTCAATTCATGGTTCGGTGTTCCAGAACACTTGATAGTGTTCAAGAACTCAGGAGTATGGAGTTGTGCCGCAAAGTCGGTATTGGAGTCGGATTTACATGTACTGTCTGAACTTAAATACGTGCGTCCCTCAGTCAAATTTAACGACGACATGTATTCATTAATAGATTCTACGATATCGAGTGTTGGCGCAAGTATAGCTCTATCCTTC